TTTTCATCGGTTTCGGACTCCATTTTGCAGCAAAACACCGGTGAAAATTTAAGGGAAATCGAGCGAAAATCTGCCAAATTACTGTTATTTTTTGAAAATTTCTTTTTGTGGCGAGACTCATACGATAATATTGTTGTATGCGCCTTTAATGTCGATTTACGAGTAGTACTGTAATATTTATTTTTTGCAGATTTCTCTCAATTATTCTCGATTTTTTGCTAATTTTTCGCTTTTTCTATCGTATTTTTTTAATTTTCAAAGTTTGTTTTCTTAAATTGTACATTACAGAACGATCTTCACGAGGGAACCCCCGAAATTCGTTGTTTCGAGACAAAAATCGAAACTTGACGAATTTTTCTTCGAATTTCTAATTGTGTTGCTATTTAAGCTCATGTGTATTTTTCTGCGGAGTTTCATCTCCCCGGAATTTCCGGGGTCTCTGATTTTCTGAAATTCGATGAAAACGCGCTCCGATGAGAAAAACAAAAAGCGGCGGTTCAAAAAATTACTTTTTTCGATCGACGATTTTCTGGAATTAAAAGAATTTTATACGAAAAAGTTCAATTTTTTCAGAAAAATTCGACATAAATTAGAAGGAAAAGAGCTTCACAGCCAATTAAAACTTCAAATATTTTTGCTTCGCGCCGCTTATCAATATAGCGCGTTTGACGCATATAATGCGTTTAAAGCAACTTTAATTCGATTTGAGCAAAAAATTTGAAGAAATTAATGATAAAATTGGTTAAAACCAGAAAAAACGAACGGCCGTATTTCCTTCGATAAAACCACACCGTCAACTTTGAGCTCAATTATCTCGGCTCCTGTGAAAGATATCGAAAATTTGCCAACTACAAAAATGTTTACCATAAAATCAGCTACATTTTATTTGTTGACAAAATTCTGATATCTTTCACAGGAAGTGAGATAGTTGAGATCAAAACAAGCGATGCTACGCGGTGGGCGCCGTTGGCTACGCCACTGCTTTTTTTGCACTCAATTTTCTCGATTCTTGTGAAAGATATCAAAAATCTGTCAACTACAAATATGTTAACCATGATATCATCTACTTTTTATCAGTTGACAAAATTTTGATATCTTTCACGGGAAGTGAGATAATTGAGCTCAAAGTTGACGGTTTGGTTGCCGTAGCCTAGGAATTCTTCTTCCATTTTTAACAAATTCGTGTTTGCAAAGGCGTTTTCCTTGGACATTCTGGATTACTGTATTTTCTGTAATTCCAAATTCCCCCTTTTTTTTCTTATCAACCATACAACCTATTTCCCAAATAAATCACTTTATTTGTATTGATAAATCAATTTCTCTTATTTCTCAAGAAAAAAGAAAAAAGCCCCCAGCCATCGCATCATCATTGATATAATCTATTTGTTTCTTTTCTTCTTTTTTTCGGCGAAAAAAAGAAAAAGAAAAAGAATACCTGTTCCACTCGTCGTCTTTCTCGAATCAAACCGTGTAGCAAATCATGTATTGTGACCTTTTCCGTTTTATTTGACATTGACGTCATGATGTATTATTGACTACAAAAAGAATGGGGAATTTCAGCACATCGAAAGTTCAAAAAATTGGGTTTCCAGATTTTTCAGCAATCGAGCAGCTCAGCTGTCAAATTCTACACATTTCTGTCCCAAAATTACTGCCCTAGCTCATCTAGAACCCGAGATATGGGCATTTGAAGTTTTAGAAGAGACGCAGACAGTCAGATTACCTCGTTGTCTGCGTCTCTCACATCCTAAACTTCAAACGGCTGTATATCAGCTCCCAGCGGGCCTGGAAACGTAATTTTTGATGGGAAAAACTACAAAATTACGACTTTTTCCATTTCCATTGAACCTGGGAACTCCAAAACCTCAAAAGTTCAAAAAATTGGATTTTCAGATTTTTCAGCGATGGTGTAGCTCGGCTATCAAATTCTACACATTTCTGTCCCAAAATTACTGCCCTAGCTCATCTAGAACTCAAGATATAGGCATTTGAAGTTTTCTAAGAGACGTAGACAGTCAGCGTGTTTCGTTGTCTGTGTCTCTAGCCTTCTGAACTTCAAACGGCTATATCTCGGCTCCCAGTAGCGCTAGAAACGTCATTTTCGAAAGGAAAAACCCCACAAAATCGCTAATTTGTCCGCGAACCTGTCAACATCTATTAGTACTTGTACTTTCCAAGACAACAACAGTTTCTGATTCTTACCAGCAGAACCTTTTCCCCGACCAAATTGACCACCTATACCCTAATCGACCTTTTAAATTAGAAACTAATCACCAGAAGTATTTGAAATGAATTTTTTCGTTACAGTACAAAGCTATTAGAAGGAAGAGAGAGAGAGAGAG